AAGTGTCTCTACATTGCCCTAAAGATGAAATTAATGTCCTCCATAGGTGATTATTTGGTTTGAAATGAGGAACAGCAGAATAGTAATTTTACACATCCACTACCATCCCCTGTAGACGTGTGCAGCAGCAACACCAGTTACCATTCCACTCAGGAACTAGAACAGCTGCAGTTTCTCCACAAACTGAGGGGTTTGGGTTGCTGGATCAACTAAGGATTAGTTTCCTATGGCCCCATCCCCAACAGCTTATTTGGAACCAGCACAAAAGTCTTGGCACATAGAGAACTTGCAGGTGTTCCATCTATGCAGTCTTGCCTTGAGTCTTAATTGGTTTGCATGCCACTGCACTGAACCTGTGCCTTTGGATGAATTTCACCCTCAGTAACAAAAGGAATAGTTATCTTCCACGTTATCTTTATACAACTTGAACTAATCTTTCTAAATTCAGAAGCCTGTGCACTTGTTCAGACAGACGTAAAACATCAGGGAGGATAACAAAAAGGCAGGAAAAGTTTATATATGAACAGAAAGCATTACTTTAACAGTTGCATCCATTTTGATTGGTAACCTTTGGTTGGGATAATGTTGTTAGTGTAAATTCTCTCACCTGCTCCTTGTCTTTGAGCCTTCCATTGGATAGTAGAAAAGAGCAAAGATGGTGAGAACAGTTTCCATGGTGTTTGTTAGAGTTCTGGTACAGCAATACCATGTAAACCAAGAGCACAACTGGCAAAGGTACTAAAAACAATTATGAACAACAGGGGGGGTGTTAATACAATATTTGTATAGCCTTTAATGAAAGAGGTGATAGCACTTAAGTCTAAAACTTTTCAGACATTTAATAATATCATTAAACCATTTCTTAAGTTCTGCAGTACACTGTATGCTAAAATACTATAAGGCACATACACAAGACATGTATTTCAAGGCTGAGACTCACCACCCACTTTGCTGTTTCTGCATTTTCTAGGTGTCTCACTAATGAGTAAAGCTTTACGTCTGCTAGAGCTGACAGAACTGCTTGCACAAGTCTAGGGATCCAAATCTACGTTAAAAAAAAAAAAGAAAGTTTACTTATTTTTGTGACTCTTGTTTCTGAAGCCCCTATTAACTCCCAAGTTTAATTGCAATATATAAAACTAGGAGATTCTTGAAACATCAATCCACAGAGGAAACTAAAGGTATATGACTGTCCTCTGTATGTTTTGATGGAAAGCTCTTATTATTTTAAATACCGTAGTCCTAGAGAAAGATGAGTCCAGAGTTTCTATTAAAACCAATCAAAGACCGTGAGTCAATTTGACATTCAATTGAAAGTTTCCAGAAACTCAAGGCAGCACTTTCAAAATTGTTCCACAATGATGTAACTCATCTTTACATGAAGTCAATGGGAGTTTTATTCATTGTCTTCAATGGAAGCAATTATGTCAATACCGAGTGCTTTTGAAAAAAACCTACCCTCCGATTCTGTTCAGTTGTTCGTTATTTGCAGTCCTGGTCTTATACTTGCAGCCAAAGTAATCTGCTAATTAAAGAGCTACTGAGTAAATCCTGTTCTGAGTCTAATGGCTAAGGATATGATTTAATCACGGAGATCACGAATTCCATGACTTTAATGAACCTCTGTGACTACTTTGGCTACAGCACCCGCCGCAACGGCTGCGGTGGGGGCTGGAGCTGTCAGACTCTCTCTCTCCCCCCGCCCCTTCAGTCCTATCACTCCATTATTTGTACTAAAAGTCATGGGCAGGTTGCAGGCTTCCATGAATTTTTCTTTATTGCCCATGATCTGTCTATGACTTTTACTAAAAATAACTGACAAAATTTTAACCTTACTAGTGGTACAACACTAGTTTCTTTGACATTTGAAGAGGTTGATAGAGATCAAGAATCACCATCTATAGTCTTCAGCCTCACCCCTGCCACTGGAGCCATGCAACTGGACCCTTGTGGCCAGGCAGAGCCACATTAACTTAATTGAGGCTTCATGCGCTGGCAAGTGTTTCACTCACATGGATCCAATGGCCAAACCAGGGTCTTTCATTTCACGTGGAGGGCAGTTAAATTTCCTACCTACAATGCTTTGAAATTAAATTAATTGTAAGTTGTAGCTGGGCTTTAAAAAAATATTTCCTTTATACTTACCAGCAGCTGAACATCATCCTTTGCCAGTAGCTGTAAAACTCTGTAGATAGTTGCAAATAGTAGTGGGTATGAATAACCCCTTAAACCTTCTGCCCATTCCCAGGTCAAGTAGCCATAATTAGTAATATTAAGGATATTTTAAAAACTTAAACGTTTTCCTGTTAGTGTTCTGCTTATTCTCAGGATTTCCTGATTCTATGTTAAAAATCTTACTCTGTGGCCACTGTCAATTAGCAATTTCTGCCAATGGTCATATTAATTTCTCACTGCCAGGGAAACCTCTAGCTTAACACTCTTCCTACCAAAAAAGGACAGTGGTAGTGACATAGCTCCAAGAAAGTTACTAGGATACAAAAGCATGGAGCAGAGAGAGCATTATTGGGGCAATAAAGTCATCATAAAGAGATGTTATTACAGTATAGAGGACACAATTACGACAAAATGAAAAAGTGAGCACACTTAGTTCAGTTATAGAAAGATTCCACTCATTTTAACTTCAAAAAGCAAAGGATATTTGAAAACCATATGATGTGCAACTTCAAGCGACTGCCAGTATTCATCTGGAACAAAGCTTGTCTGGACTAAAAAGCAGTTAAGTACTCGCAGAGTTATGGTAAACAAGACCAGATAAATGTTTTCGCCAATAAGCTCTGAGAAAGCAAAACATTAGTTTGGAGAAAGTCCCTGTTATAGTCACTGAAATAATAATTGCTTATGGCTAGTGATGATTGAACAAAGGCATTCTCTTTAAAATGATAGCTTTGAACTGTATAAGTAGCCTGATCTTAGAAATGAGATATATGGTCGCATTTTTGAACAACTTTAATTATAAGAAAAAATACACATCGTACATTTGTCAAGAAGTTCCATCATTTTATGTCTCATTTTGCTGTTTGCACTTTAATAGCATTATTCCTCACAGCCTCCAGTTTGATTCCATGTTGAAGTCTTAAATGATTGCAAACTACTGTATCATCAAATCAATTGCAGTGACTGAAGAAAGATCGAAATCCAAATTAAAACTGAATTTAGTGAGAACTTTTCAAACAAGTACCTTGGACAGTTATTAGTGAGAAGAAAGAGTTAATGGCTTTGGGTTAGTTATTCTTCCCCACAGCCGGCTTCCCTTTTTTTTTTTTTTTTAAAGTTGCTCTCTTCTGTGGAATCTCAGCTTTTATATATATATATTTTTTAAAGTAAGCCACTGGCTCCCAAGTTTGTAAACATGAATCAAATGTAACTGCTATAGTAGTGTCTGGTTTTGCAGAATCTGAAAAATTGGCTGAGAGGTGTGAGTAGTCCTGTTCATTTCACTGGTTATGGATTCTGATGTCCATTTGAATTAACAATAACTATTTCACAATTGATCAAAGTATGTAAGAAAGGTGAGGAATGGATGGAGGACACTTGGAGCAATCAAAAAAGTGTTACTTTCCCAAGGTTAAAGTGGTGGCAACCAATGTTCTTCAGAGTCCCCTGCTACAGGGTCAGTTATGGTAGCCTCCTTCTTCCCCAGCAATGATGGCAGCAGAATGACACCTTTAGGGGCCTAATCTGCTCTGGTGGTGATTGCCGGGTCAGACTGCTCCCTCCCTTACTGCCACTAGCTGCAACTGCTGCTCCTCCCCTCTGCTGGAGGCTGTCTACAAACTCAACTCAAGCACATCAGCTATACAGACTTCTCCAGTTTCTCTTTACAAATGTGAGCTAGAAACTTTTTAACGTAAAAGATTAGATTCTGATGTCATCACTTGACTTTGGGAACATGCTACTTTTCTTACGTCTTCATGTAATCATGGGTGTATCCTATCCTAACCCATGGTAAAGTCTAGCAGAACATATATACGAAGTTTTGAAGTGCACAATCTGCTGCAAATGACCTCTCACGTTGGAGTCTCAAGGAGGTGAGTTTGCGGGCAGTTTCAGAAAGGACTGCTTCCTCCGCCCCTTGAAGAAAACATTTGCACACGCAACCTGGCGTAATTAAGAAGCCCCTTGGGTTCCTCCCACTGGCCCAACTAACAACAGGAAGAGACTGCAGGCACCTGGCCCACTCTTGGCTGGGAGGGCGCCGAGACCACCCCCGCAGTACTGGCGCCTCTCAAGCAGCCGGCGGGGCACAGCCTGCCCCTCTGTAGGGGTGTCTCGCTAAGCGGCGGAGCTCCCTCTCCGATCGCTGCCGCCCGGGGTCAGAGGGCTGAGCGGGACACAGCTCTCTGCCTACTCCACCGCGTGTCCAGCCTCAGGCCCTTCCCCCAGAGCTTCTCCTCTCCCGGGCGCCCCTCACCTGGGCCCCGCTCCCCGCCGGCCCCCGGGGCAGCGCTGTACAGCGCAGATTTTCTCTTGCGGAGCCGCACGGTGTCGGCACTGCGGGTCCGGCCGCGGGGGAAGAACCCGCCTCCACCCCCCGCCTGCATGTCGGCCGCAGCTCTCTGCGCGGAGCCCTCTCACTTCCGCATTGGGCGGAGCCAGAGTGACGCTCGGGGGCGAGGCTGCGGCCCTGCCGGAGCTTGCGGGGGCTGGGTGAGCGCATGTGCGGAAGAGTATTTAGGGGCGGGAAATTGGGATACAATTCAGCGGGGTGAGAGATTATGTCGCTCGGGGCGGGGGCTGGGTTTTTTACTTCCGGCAGCTTGTCTGGCGTATGGAGGTTTCATCTCGCTGGTTTAATCGGTTCGACGAAGGGGTCTCGAAGGTAAGGCGGCGCGCGCGGCTCCGCGGTGGGAGGGGTTTGCGGGGCTCTGGGCAGGGAGGCGGGGGCTGATGTCCCCGGAGTCTCTCCTCCCGCTTCTCGAGCCCTGCCCCGATTGACCGGGGGGGGGTGGGTGTCTGTGCCCCCCTCAGCTTCGCTCAGCCCTGCTCCCCTGTACGGGGCAGCGGGACCCGCTGGGCGCGTGCGGCTCCCTCCACAGCTGCCCCCGCCTCCGTGCCCTTCCGTGGCTGCGCTCGGGCCACGGGGCGCCGCCCCCTGGTTCTCCCGCCGCCCCTAAATTCGGCCCCGGTCTCGTGGGAGGGCGACGGGCCGCGGGAAGCGCCTCTCCCGCACGCTGCCTCCCCCTCGGGAAGCCGGGCGCTCTCGTCTTGAGGCGCCTCTCGGGCTTCAGCTCTCCCGTGCCCGGCGATCTCCGCTGTTTCAGTCCACAGCTCTGCGCTGCCCGGAGAGTCCCGCTGGCGTCGGAAGCTGGAGTCTGGAAAGAGCTGGTGGGTCGTGGCCCCGAGCCTTAATCCATGCGGCGCCTGTCACCGAGGCGCTGGTAACAGGGATTTCACGTAGCACTTCTGTCAGTTACACCTAGTGACTAATTCTTAGTGTACCGCCATTGAAATCCAGATCGCTGTGAGCTAAGGCAGCATGCCCCCGTGTGGGGGCATTGCCTCGGGGGAGAGACACTAACTGCGAACGGACACAGAACAGTCTTCCCTATCCTGCCCTACTAACGCTGCTGTTGAAGGAGACTGTAACGGGCTTCAACTTTCTGAAGGGGAGTTGACCTTCTAAAAAGTTTGGGGAAATGCTGAAAAAGTTTTCTACCATAATTTTATGTGTTTATCATTTAACTATGGCACTGCTTTACAGAATGGACAAACACATTCCCTCTACTGAAGAGCTGACAGGCAAATGTGATCTATTGGCTGATATTGGAGCTAGTACCCATAAAAACCTCAATCCTTACTGGAGAGAGAGGAAAAAGACCTCCATGCTCCTGATCTTTGTATTATACAGTACAGAATGTGTGATCCAGCTCCTCCATGAAACCAAGAGAAACCTGCTTTTTACATGAAGCAATATTTACAAGAGAGCAGCACTTCTATCTTACTATCAGTAACTGAACACCGACTGTTAATCATGGTTGGAGTTCTTGCTCTGAAAAGTGGAACAGAGCCATAATTCTTATGTTATCGCATTTTAGATGCAAAATACAAATATTTATATTGGTCTTAGACCCATCTGTTTACAGTTCAAATTGATTTAAGTGGAAATTGTGTGCATGGATGATGGCAGAATATTTCTTGTTTTGTTTTGTATAGCAGCCCCTACCCAAAGTAACTGTGATAGTCACGTGTCAATACTTCATTCTTTTTGGACTGCAACAAACATTACAGTGAGTAACACTTTACATTCACTTTCATTTATATGCAGATCTGAAGATTTTGCTTGGCTACTCAGATGTCTTTAGAGTATCTTTGAAGACAGGTGTGACAAGTTACAGCTTTGGCTGTTAAAATGTATGGTAAAGTGCCATTACCTCATATCTTTCTGGGGGCTCTCCTTGGAGTTGCAGGAGGAATCTACATCTATAAACCAATATTTGAACAATATCACAGAAAACAGAATAAATTAAAAGAAAAGCTGCAAGCACCAGAACTAGAAGAGAAGAAAGAATAGCAGAGATTACATGGAGCTGCTTGGTGATATTGGTTTGGACACTGTAAACTTTTGTTCTGAGATAAAAACAAAATAACATAGTCTATTCTTCAAAAGAAATTGGTTTATCTTGGTGAAGAATAAATATGCTTTTTAATTAATGTAAATATGGTGTTTTCTTAGATGGCCAGCTGCACATACATTGACCGAATTGCATTTGATTCCACTGACCTTTTTCTTTAAAATTATAGGTTTCTAGTCTTATGCAAATTCAGAGTTAGGTCTGTCACTCTGCCCTTAGTCCTAACCCCATTGGGAATAGAAAGCATACTTGTAGTACACCTCTACTCTGATATAACGTGACCCGATATAACATGGGTTTGCATACAACGCGGTAAAGCAGCGCTCCGGAGGATCAGCATGTCAGCTCCCTGCGCTCCGCTTCCCGCCGCCGGTGAGTGCAGGGAGGTTGGGGAAAGGACGCCCCCCCATACTCACCTGCAGTGGGAAGCTGAGCGCCATGGCTGGGAGATGGTGGAGTGGAGCGGGCTGGGGCTGGGCTGCTCCTGCACTCACCAGCATCAGCGGAAGCAGGAGGTTGGGGAAAGGACGTCCCCCCGTACTCACCCGTGGCGGGAAGCGGAGTGCTGCGGCTGGGAGCTGGCGGAGTGGAGCGGGCTGGGGCTGGGCTGCTCCGCTTACCGCTGCCGGTGAGTGCGGGGCCTTTCCCCACCCCCCCAGCGACACTGCTGGGGCCGGGGCAAGGAAAGCGGAGCGGGCTGGGGCCACATTGCTCCACTTCCTGCCGCAGGTAAGTGCAGGGGGCGTCCTTTCCCCAATCTCCCCGCACTCACCGGCAGCGGCGGGAAGCGGAGAAGCCCGGCCCCAACCCGCTCCACTCCGCCAGCTCCCACCTGCGGCGCTCTGCTTCTTGCCACAGGTGAGTCCGGGGGGCATCCTCTACCCAACCTCCCCGCTCTCACCGGCGTCAGGAACCAGAGCACCGCGGCTGGGAGCTGCTGGAGTGGAGTGGGCTGGGGCTGGACTGCTCTGCTTCCCACCACTGCCGGTGAGTGCCTGTCATGTGGTGGGGGGTGTGGATAGGGGTTGGGGCAGTCAGGGGATAGGGAGCACGGGGGTTGGGTAGGGGGTGATTAGGGATGGGGGGGTCTCTGGAGGGGGTGGTCGGGACAAGGAGCAGGGGGGCCAAAGCAAGTTCGATATAATGCGGTCTCACCTATAGTGCGGTAAGATATTTTTTTTTTTTTTTTTTTTTTTTTTTGGCTCCAGAGGACCGTGTTATATCGGGATAGAGGTGTATGTGTGATCTGAGAGTGGAGTGTGTGACCCACCACTGAGTTTCTTAGCTCTTTAACAGCATGTTACAACCTTCATGCTGTAAAAGTAGAAAATTAGACATAGGCCTGGTCTACACTATGAGTTTAATTCGAATTTAGCAGCGTTAAATTGAATTAACCCTGCACCCGTCCACACAACGAAGCCATTTTTTTCGAAATAAAGGGCTCTTAAAATCGATTTCTGTACTCCTCCCCGATGAGCGGAGTAGCGCCGAAATCAATATTGTCATTTCGAATTAGGGTTAGTGTGGCCGCAATTCGATGGTATTGGCCTCCGGGAGCTATCCCACAGTGCACCATTGTGACCGCTCTGGACAGCAATCTGAACTCGGATGCACTGGCCAGGTAGACAGGAAAAGCCCTGCGAACATTTGAATTTCATTTCCTGTTTGCCCAGCACAGGAGAGCACAGGTGACCACAGAGAGCTCATTAGCACAGGTAACCATGCAGGCCAATAATCGAAAAAGCACCAGCATGGACCGTACGGGAGGTACTGGATCTGATTGCTATATGGGGAGAGGATTCAGTGCTAGCAGAACTTCGTTCGAAAAGACAAAATCCCAAAACTTTTGAAAAAAATCTCCAAGGGCATGATGGAGAGAGGCCACAATAGGGACTCAGAGCAGTGCCTCATGAAAGTCAAGGAGCTCAGACAAGCCTATCAGAAAACAAAGGAGGCAAACGGTCGCTCCGGGTCAGAGCCGCAGACATGCTGCTTCCACGCTGAGCTGCATGCAATTCTAGGGGGGGCCCCCACCTCTGACCGTGGATTCCAAGGTGAGGGGTAATCTCATCAGCCACACCTGAGGATTCTGTGGACGGGGAAGAGGAGGAGGACGACGAGCTTGCGGAGAGCACACAGCACTCCGTTCTCCCCAACAGCCAGGATCTTTTTCTCAGCCTGACTGAAGTACCCTCCCAAGCCAGTACCCAAGACCATGACCCCATGGAAGGGACCTCAGGTGAGTTTACCTTTTAAAATATAAGACATGGTTTAAAAGCAAGCGTTTTTTAATGATTAATTTGCCCTGAGGACTTGGGATGCATTTGCAGCCAGTACAGCTACTGGAAAAGTCTGTTAACGTGTCTGGGGATGGAGCAGAAATCCTCCAGGGACATCTTCAGGAGAGCTTCATGGAGATACTCCAAAAGCCTTTGCAAAAGGTTTCTGGGCAGTGCAGCCTTCTTCCGTCCTCCATGGTAGGACACTTGACCACGCCATGCTAGTAGCAAGTACTCTGGTATCATTGCATGACAAAGCCTGGCAGCGTATGTCCCAGTATTTGCTGGCATTCAAGCAAAATCTGTTCTTTATCTCGCTGTGTAATCCTCTGGAGAGTGATATCGCTCATGGTAACCTGGTTGAAATACGGGAATTTAATTAAGGGGACAGAGGTGGCCGTTCCTACTGGGCTTTTTGCCTGTGGCTGAAAAGAAATCCTTCCCTGCAGTTAGCCAACTGTGGTTGGGGGAGGAGGGGGTGGAACTGGCGCTGAGCTTTTCGCCTTTGGCTAGCAGGGATCTTCCCTGATACCAGCCACATGGTGGGGGGAGGGATAAAGCGATCATCCCATAGAATTGGATGTGGGGGCGGGGGTTAATTTTTCTGCTGCTGAAGGTTAACAGGAAAACCGCAGCAGTCAACGGGCTTTGCTTGGTATGTGGGAAAGGAGGGCGCAGAAGCCGAAAGACAATGGCTTACCATGGCCGCATGCAAGCCGAATTCTGTTGCCCGGACCTGCGTCTGTGATCTCTAACACCAAAGCCACAGGCACTCAATATTAAGATGGAAAATGCAACCTTGTACTGAAATCACATGTGCTATGTAATGTGAATAGTGTTGTTCACCGTGAAAGAGTATAAGCATTGTTCTGTAAAATGTATCTTTTTAAAAACTTTTCCTTTTTTCCATCCCTCCAGCAGCTGCAAATTTTTCAAGCCTCCCTCCTCCGTCCCAAAGGCTATCTCCGATAAGGCGGCGAAGAAAGAGGATGCGAGACGAGATGTTCTCGGAAATAATGGAATGCACCTGCAATGAAAGAGCTCATTTGAATGAGTGGAAGGACACGGTATCTAAGTACAGGAAAAATGCCAGTGAACGTGAGGTCATGAGGGACACTTGAGATGAGAGGTGGCAGGCTGCAATGCTGGGCCTGCTGCATGATCAAACGGACATGCTCTGCCTCTGGCATCTGGTGGAGCTTCAGGAACGGCAGCAGGATAACAGAGTGCCGCTGCAGCCGCTGTATAACCAAATTTCCATTGACTTCCATGGGAGCAGGAACTAGCCTCAAGTTGGACAGTGAGGCAGCAGGCTTTTGAAAGATTCTTTGGCTATAAAGCATGATTGGTGTTTGCTTGTTTGTTAAATTGTGAATTTCCGATATGGTGCTCCAATGCCAGAGACATAGATTAGGTTTCTTTTGCTGTGTTTGTGCAGCAGGAAATAGAAGTCTTGGTTTCAGAAAGACACTCAAGAGAATCCTTTGGAAGAGTTATTGAGAGGCTGCTTGGAGCAAGCTGCTAGAATGGAATCTTGTCTTAAACAGATTAAACAAGGCATTTTTCCCTTGTATTACAGAGGGATTTAACCTATGCGTATGCTGTTAAAACTTTTTTATTTTGACCTACCAGAACAACAGACAACTAATTACGTTAGTTCTTAAAGTACATTGTGTTTTTCAACTGGAACATTTTGCATAGAAGGTTTGGAGCCTGATTCCACAGGGTGCTGAACACATTCAACCCCCAGTGACTCAAGAAGTGTTCAGTGCCTTGCAGCCCTGACTTTTTCACAAAACCTTTAGAATTAGAGGCAGCAACTCTTTTCTTGGTGGTTGGGAAGGGTCATAAGTTGAAGGAGACCTATGTATGTGGAGTACTCATTTTAATTACCTATTTCAGAAACATCTGTACCTCAAAAAGCATCTTAATTTTTGTGAGATGATGTAGAGAGAAATGAAGGAAGAACTCTGTCAGCCTGGTAGGACATGCTTAATTGAGGGAGAAATTGAATGAGAGGGGAAATGCAGCACTCTCTGTGTTGACAGTACTGAATGTGGTGATGGTTTAAAAAAATACATGGGAATTACAAGAGATCAACCTTTGTTAAATCACTACAAGAGAAGGCTAAGCAGTAATGGGACAAAAGTATTGTGTGGCTGTCACCCAAGAAAAGGCATGTTGCTTCTGTTTGTATTAGATATAAAGTCTAATCTGAGATGTGAGACCGGGCAATTTTATGTTTGTTTCTGTCTGCTGGCCAAGAGAGAGCGCTAAATATCACATGCTTCCTGGCTAACTATGTCCACATTGGCATTGTCTTGACAGGAAAAGTGGTTGAGTTTAGCTAACATGTGCTAGTTAAACTCATTAGTCTCTTGAAAATGGTATTTAGGAGCCTGTCACTTAGGTGGTTTTGAAAATTTTGCACCAGTTACTTGGTCAAACTGTAGCTTAAGCTTCTTTCTGGGCTAGAACATGAGCTAAAACCAAGCTAATGGTGTTACTCTGCAGCTACAGTAGGAAGTCTACCCTACAAAGTTTTGTTGGCATAACTATGTTGGTCAGCAGTGTGGAAAAAAAACTCACTCTTGGCAGACGGTGCTAGGGCAGCAAAACCTCAAGTCTAATGTTGTTTGGGGAGGTGATATTACTATACCAACAGAAAAATTCCTCCTGTTGGCATAACCTGCATCTACACTAAAGGCTCTGCAAAGCATTGATAGAGTAGACAAGGCCTAAGGCCTTCTACTCAAGACAAAGCCATAGTGAGGAAAAAGATTTACAGCTTTTTATGGAGAGAGAGAAAACTCTATCCTATTGGGTAGCTGTAAAGAAGCTCTGCATTAGGAAGAGTGCCCTTTGTATTGAAAGACCTCCCCCCATCCCCCATCCCCCCAAAAGAAAGAAAGTTCCCAGTCTTAGAGATCAGTTTTAAAAGGCAATATTTCTGTTCCTTTACTGTGCTAGACCAGATCAGCCAGAGCAAGGAACAAATATGTTCCTTGTTAAACAGCTAACAAAATCATCCAAAGCACAGGACTTGGTAGCTGAAGTCCCCCATCACCACCCAGACATCTGTTAGGAAAATAACACAGCAAGGCAATTATCCAATAAGTTCTTGGAATGTATTGGAGACAATTTTTTATTTCAGAAGGAGGAGACAACTGCCAGGGGAGAAGCTGTTCTAGATTTGATTTTGACAAATAGGGAGGAACTGGTTGAAAATTTGAAAGTGGAAGACACCTTGAGTGAAAGTGATCATGAAATGATTGAATTCGTGTTTCTAAGGAATGATGAGAGAGAGCAGCAAAATAAAGACAATAGATTTCAAGAAGGCAGACTTTAGCAAACTCAGAGAGTTGGTAGGTAAGATTACATGGGAATAGAGTGACCAGATGTCCTGATTTGATAGGGACAGTCCCGATACGTGGGGCTTTGTCTTATATAGGCACCTATTACACCCCACCCCCGTCCCAATTTTTCACACTTGCTGTCTGGTCACCCTACATGGGAAGTAAGTCTAAAGGGAAAAACAATAGAAGACAGTTGGCAGTTTTTCAAAGGGACATTAAGGGCACAAGAGCAAACTATCCAAATGCATAGGAAAGATAGGAAGTATGACAAGAGACCACCCTGGCTTAACCAGGAGATCTTCAATGATCTAAAAATAAAAAATAAGTCCTACAAAAAGTAGAAACTAGGTCAAAGTAGAAGGATGAATATAAACAAATAACACAAGTATGTAGGGACCAAATTAGAAAGGCCAAGGTACAAAATGAGATCAAACTAGCTAGACACAAAGGGTAACAAGAAAACATTCTACAAATACATTAGAAGTAAGAGGAAGACCAAGGATAAGGTAGGCCCGTTACTCAATGAGGGGGGAAAAAACAATGACAGAAAACGTGGAAATGGCAGAGGTGCTTAATGACTTTTTTTGTTTCGGTTTTCACCAAGAAGGTTGGTGGTGATTGGATGTCTTAATGTAGTGAATGCCAGTGAAAATGAGGTAAGATCAGAAAAGGCTAAAATAGGGAAAGAAGCTAAAAATTACTTGGACAAATTAGATGTCTTCAAGTCACCAGGGCCTGATGAAATGCATCCTTGAATACTCAAGGAGCTGACTGAGGAGATATTTGAGTCATTAGTGATTATCTTTGAAAAGTAATGGAAGATGGGAGAGATTCCAGAAGACTGGAAAAGGGCAAATATAGTGCCCATGTATAAAAAGGGAAATAAGGACAACCCAGAGAATTATAGACCAGTCAGATTAACTTCTGTACCCGGAAAGATAATGGAGCAAATAAATAAGTAATCAGTTTACAAACATTTAGAAGATAATAAGGTGATACGTAACAACCAGCATTGATTTGTCAAGAACAAATCATGTCAAACCAACTTGATAGCTTTCTTTGACAGGGTAACAAGCCTTGTGGACGGGAGGGGGGGGGAGAAGCAGTAGACTTGGTATATCTTGACTTCAGTAAAGTTTTTGATTCTGTCTCGCATGACCGTCTCATAAACAAACTAGGGAAATGCAGCCTAGATGGAGCTACTATAAGGTGAGTGCAAAACTGGTTGGAAAACCATTCTCAGAGAGTAGTTATCAGTGCTTCACAGTCATGCTGGAAGGACATAATGAGTGGGGTCCCACAGGAATCCGTTCTGGATCCGGTTCAGTTCAGTATCTTCATCGATGATTTAGATAATGGCATACAGAGTACACTTACAAAGTTTGTGGACGATACCAAGCTGGGTGGGGTGGCAAGTGCTTTGGAGGTTAGGATTAAAATTCAAAATGATCTAGACAAACTGGAGAAATGGTCTGAAGTAAATAGGATGAAATTCAATAAGGACAAATGCAAAGTACTCCCTTTAGGAAGGAACAATCAGTTGCACACATATAAAATGGGAAATGACTGCCTAGGAAGGAGTATTGCGGAAAGGGATCTGGGGGTCATAGTGGACCACAAGATAAATATGAGTCAACAGTGTAACGCTGTTGCAAAAAAAGCGAACATCATTCTGGGATGTATTAGCAGGAACGTTGTGAGCAAGACACGAGAAGTAATTCTTCCACTCTACTCTGCGCTGATTAGGCCTTAACTGGAGTATTGTATCCAGTTCTGGGTGCCACATTTCAGGAAGAATGTGGACAAATTGGAGAGAGTCCAGAGAAGAGCCACAAAAATTATTAAAGGTCTAGAAAACATGACCTATGAGGGAAGATTGAAAAAAATTGGGTTTGTTTAATCTGGAAAAGAGAAGACTGAAAGGGGACATGATAACCGTTTTCAAGTATGTAATAGATTGTTACAAGGAGGAGGAAGAAAAATTGTTTTTCTTAACCTCTGGGGATAGGACAAGAAGCAATGGGCTTAAATTGCAGCAAGGGCGGTTTAGGTTGGACATTAGGAAAAACTTCCTAACTGTCAGGGTGGTTAAGCACTGGAATAAATTGCGTAGGGAGGTTATGGAGTCTCCGTCACTGGAGATTTTTAAGAGCAGGTGAGACAAACACCTATCGGGAATGGTCTAGATAATACTTAGTCCTGCCATGAGTGCAGGGGACTGGACTAGATGACCTCGCAAGGTCCCTTCCAGTTCTATGATTCTATGTGACTGTTAAGCTTAAACCCAGAGAAAAATATCCAGACAACTTTAGAAACTGCATTATAGTTTTTCACAGTATTATACAGTATATTAAAATTCTTCTTTCTAAGGAAACTGTGGTACAGTTACTTATTCATTCTTTTCATCACTACCACAGCTTCCTGTAAACTGCAATCTCTCTTTGAGATTAAAAATGCACTTACTCATCAACCCTTTTTGCCATACAGATAAGGATCACAGATCTATTTAAAAAAATAGATGATTTCTAACTCTTCTCATACTGAAAGCAGAGGCATCAGATGAAGTTGTTGGTTTATTTTTTTTTAAAGCTTCTTTCAAGAACATGGGGGGCTTGCTATTTTTAGTCTTTACTAGCTTAAATACCACTTTGATAAAAACAGGCTCAAAATGAGTACTCACAAAAAGTTAAACCAGCAGACGTCCCACTCACACCAAAGCTATAGCCTGCTAATAACTATGCATTTCATCCATCTGTTATGTTCCAGTTTATGACCTGTTTTCAGCTCATGATTGATTTGGAAAAACAACAATCATTTACTTATTTTTGTGGCCACTTTTTGTGTTTAAAAGAACCCCACAAACAACCTCCTTCCAACCCTGATCTCCCACCCCCAACACACATTCTTGACTAGGATGTTCACTGCAATCTGGATTCTAATCTCTTTTTCTACACTTTGTTTGTTCTCTATTTTAGAACTTTTTAATAAAATCCATTTCTACTTCTACACCATAAGGGGCTGGAATGCATTTCAATTTTTTTTTAAACATTTCTCCCCTTACCTCCCTTATCTTAAAAAAAAAAGTTCAAGATAAGAAACTGAACATCCTATAAATTGAAACTTGTTTAACACTTGAGTCTGATCAGAAGCAGGCCTTGCATGAGTTATACTGTGTGGCTTAATGTGACTTTTGTCCCTTTCATGTGGATCTGAAGTCAGCACCTGAATTTTACAGATGGAGAAAGTGAGGCAGAGAGGTCACACTGCAGGTCAGTGACAGAGCTGTGATGAGAACTCTGGAGTAGAGCTGGGCAAAATATTTTGGTCAAAAATTTTTTTCCCCCCCCCCCCCCCAGGAAAAGGTGCAGATTCAGCAACACAAAATGTTTCATGATTCATGTCCGTTTCGCCAAATCGTTTGTCTCAATCCTCCTCCCTCCACCCCCAATTCGGAAAAAGTTTAAACGTTTTGTTTCAATACTTTTGAAATGTTCAATTTGTTTAGGCTGAAACAACTTCATTTTGTAATTTCCTTCAATTTTACACTTAAAAAAGCAAATATGATTTTTTTTTTTAAAAAAGCTCAAAATTTGTGGGAAACTTCAAAAACACTCA